ACATACGATTCTTTCTCTCGAAACGTGACCTGCTGTTTCCCTGAAATTATTGTGACGTGACGCCTCGGTTTATGACGTTTCGATAACGGAGCGCTCACAGTCTGCTAAAAAAATTTGCACATTCTGCATGTATATCTGTATTATATCCAACATTCAGCATACAAAGAGCCTTTGCGAAGAGAGCGAGAAAATTTACCTTCTATATAAAATATAGATTTGAATATATCAGATAATATTAGAGATTATATTATTTTTGAAATAAATTACTTTGTATGATTATTAACTCTATAATAATATAAAAAGAAAAATATAGTGTGCAAATATGTATTACAAATAATACTTTTAACATTTCAGATTCAGCCCTTTTTTTACAAAAATTTAATGAAAGACGATTGTTATAACTGTTTCATGTTAATAAAATTTCTAGTCCATTCGTACTCTGCAGATTTAATTCGTGAAATCTGTTAATTTTTGACGTTAAGTAATTTTATAATCTAATTTTTCAGTATACTTGTGTGTGTGTGTGTGTGTTGTAGAAAAATGAAATAAATCAAATTTATCGATAAAATTTAAACCTGTAAAAAAACTTTTTTGATATCCGCGATATTGTATATAAAAACTTCTACACCATTCGCTCACTGACTCATGACGGATTAGAAATGAGTAAGCGTATATTATAGTTTACATGATAAAGCTGTGCACGCGTGCCTTTATAACTTGCCTTTATAACTTGCCTTTATCACATGTTTAATAACATTTTTGCTTCGCTGTCAAATATTTTTATGCACGTTACCCGACACATTTGGATTTCAATGATCCGTCGACATTTGTAGAATTCTAATAGAATAAATAATTCCGCAATAATTTATAACATCCGCAAGATCGTGCAATCATGATTAATTCTCGATATACGATAGCATATGAGCACACAATGTGTACATTATCCACACGATGCACATGTGTGCTTCGCGTCACCGAGTTTGTTTACACGTTCTATAACTCATGTTACTCGGATGATGGCAATTAATAGACATTTATCCCATCACTTAAAACGAATTACGCCCACGTACGACAGACGCAGAGAGCCTTCCTGAAACATATAGAAAATTTGTACATAAGAACCTGTTGACTTCCAGCAGACTTCCATACATCTTTCACGTAAAGTCATTGATGAGTGAAACTGAAACACGGATGTTACGATATTTTTAACTCAAGCAAACGCGAGTCACCACTTGCAGCATTCGCATGTGTGTTAAAAAATTTAATTACTGACCAATTTGATTTTAGAATCGTTATCGATAACAGTGGATGATAAATAAATGAAGGATAAGATCGTGACAATTATCATAATCTAAAAATTTATATAATATTACTAAACTTGATCTTTATCGTAAATATTTCGTATTTTTATATCTTATATTTAACATATATCTGTAATATATAATTTAAAAAAAAACAAAGAGAGAGAATATGTAATAGCAACATTTAATAAATTAGAATATGAGTTAAACATTTCCAATTTGAATTTGGCTGTTACACGAACGTTCCTTCTGAATTAATAATTTTCATATGAATAGACTCATACTTTCGCATTTGCCGATACGTAAAAGTGCCTGCGGAACCGGAGCAATCAATATCTATCTGGATGGTAGAAGGACAAATGTCATACGTCCACAGGTACATAATATTAATCACTTGCAGATCCCAGAGAAATATTTTTAGTATATAGTGTATATATTATACAGATATTTTTTTCGAAAGTTTCTCGCTAATACGAAGCGACAACGATCGTTTTGGATTCATTTTTGATGTAAAAGCCAAAAATGGAACGCGTCGAATTAACCGAGAAAGCAAACAAGCATCCGCTTTTAATTGAACGCATTGTTTCCTGAGCACGTATTACCAAACGATGATTAGTACGATGTTCGAGATAATTAACGTCTAGTGTAGTTATGATAGCGCGATATTCCTGACACGAACGCGTCTAATCAACGCTCATAAAATAAACCGCAAGGGGAAACTCTCGTATCTGGGTCCACCACGTTGTACCTCGGGCCATCGAATCTTTCTCTGCTGCATTGCGGACGAAATTACATATTAATGCGGAAATGTGGAAATTTCAACTAATTTCTCTGTACGTTGGTTTATCTTGATATTTCAAAGACCTTTTTAGATTTTGAAAAGCTTAATAAAAATCGTCAAATATAATTTCATAGAAGATTCTATCTCGTTAATATATTTACGCGCGTAATATATACAAATATTAATGATCGATGTATTACATCGCGTTTTAGTTTCCCCCGAATATCGATTATATAATCTTCTCGTACGTAGAACTATGTACATTAATTGGCAATTATTTCATGATAATGGTATAGCATCAATATTGTTTGCTAAGTACCGCTGATCCTATTGAATTGAGAATATCGAAACAAATAGATACGCGACAAATTAATACTTTGTCATTAAACTGACAAAGTCTATGTTACAGCCATTGAAACAACTAAATTTATGGGCGAAACACACACAAAGAGAGTTTCTCTTATTAAAATGAATAATATAAAATAACGTAATTATCATTATATATGTATATTATATTTTATAAATTTTTGTATATATACAGATAGAGAAAGATTTAGTAGTGTTATATATAAAATACGGGATGTTTCTAAAAGTTAGTATTTGTCTACTTTCGTGAATATTTATACGAATGAAATTTTTGTAAATGCGTCACACTTACGGAAGCATACAATATTGATGCATTTACGCAAAAAAAAAAAAAAAGAAAAAATATGCAATATCGTATCTCGCAACGGATCTCCTTGTAATTCATTGTATTTGTAGTATCTGCAACATATGCGCGTACGTTATGTATGATTGCGTAATAATGATTCATTCGATGACACCACGCGATGTCCTCGAAATAAGTGTCCCTCGCCAAGAACCATAGTTTGCGTTATGGTAAACACACTTGGCATGTGATTATGAGATATGTCGTTCTTTTAAGCCGGACGAGAGATTTGTCGCTCCATCAATCCGCCTGATAACGTAATGACGCTTCCGTTGTTGCTTCAGATGTATTCAATGAGGACTTACTTTATATAGTATCAAGAATTCGTGCATTTCTACTGCAGCTTTTATATAAATATCTATTATTTCACGCGTGTTCACGCATTTATCTTTTATTGTATAATTTTATTGTGCATTTTTTAAATCACATAATTTATTTATATCAATTTCTAAAACAGTACGATCTTTATTTCTCTTCTTTAAAAGATGCGAGAGCTAAATTCAGAGAGATGATTTGATTAAGATTTTTAATAATTAATAAGAATAAGAATTGAAAGATATTAAGAAGATAAAATATCATACACGCATAACATAATGCGATAGCTACATTATTAGTGATATGACATATTTTTTATTCACTCTAAAAACGACTGTTCTAAATATAAATACCACAAATTTTAATTATTTAAAGCCGTGAAGTTGCAAAGATAACGAGTTAGGATAATAGCTTCGTAACACAATTACGAATTAACGTCTATTGTAAAGCTCTTCGTGGTTGGCGTCATTAACTTAAAAATTTAACATGAAGTCATAACTAGATCCGTGTATTATACGTATAATACTATGAAACACGCAATTAACAAAAGATTGCGAATTCCTTTGAACTACGCGACGGACTTGTTCTGTCGAGTACTGAGTCGTAATTAGGTCATTTTGAGCACCTGTCATGAACCACTTAATTTTCAACTGCATTCAAGTGTCAAAGGAAAGCTAGCTAGAAACAATGTATCGCGATATACCAGATTGGATCACAAGGAAACACATTCCATTGACTTTCTATCTTTGTTAATGAAAAGGAGTGTACTCGTTCGAAGCACTCAATAGTAGGTTTCCTAATGAAAAGGAAATGGAAAATACGAGAATTGTTGTTTATTTTCGTGAAATTATAATTATAATTTATACAAGGAAATATTCCTCAACATTAATCATGGTATAAATATTATATAATTATTTTAATATTATACTTTGTGTAATATATAACTTTGTAACTTGTCTTAAGATAAATGTGAATATGGCGTGTTTATATGAAATGTGCAAGTTGATTTTTTAAATAGTTAAAAATGGTCGGATATGAATCAACTCTTTAAATCGTCTCTATTGATTCTTTACCAAGCTTTAAAATTAAAAAATTTTTGATATATATTTTCTTTCATAAAAAGTCAATAGTTACTCTGAATACATCAGTTAATACTGTCATATCGAATATTGAGGTCATGAGTTTATCTTGTCATAGCAAAAATGATCATCCACGTTGCAGATGAGTGGGATTTATTAAAAACCCTTCAAGTAATCGATTATGTGACGTTTTCACACTTTTTCCCATGTGTCGGTCTTAGAATATAAACGCGCAGTCCAAGCCTATAATAATTGCCCTCAGGGAAATTTACTCACGATGCGTATTTATAATGTTTCGTCATCTTTTGCGGGTGTGTAACTCTTCATCGATTTTTTTATTCTCTGAAAAAGTAGTAATATTCGTACGCAGTGTACGTTACTATGTAATGTGCGAGGTACAAGATAAATCTTTTATCTAAAGAGCTTACCTTTTTATATAAAATTTAAAACGTGGATCATAAATTCGTAAACATAAATATCTAATTTCATAGATCAAAAACATTTTTTTTATCTTTCCATCTTTTCCTTTATATAAATACGAGAAAAAGATATGAAATAGTTTGAATATATAATCATTTTGACGATAATATTTTATTATTATTACTAAAATAACTGACATCATTTCTGGTTCGATATTTCGTTAACGAGTTGTCAAGTTATTTAGTAACGAAGATGTCATTCACCTCCCATCGCCCTCGTTCTGACCATATTTTTATTGGCAACATACATAAGAGATTGCGTTAGGATTAGTGTCAGGAGATGTTAATACTTGAAATTGATGACAAGTAGTGACCTTCTTTCCTTGTCTATTGCAGGGGTGCTGGAGATGGCGGCCACCGAGAGCACGATCCGATTTAGTGGCCACACGTTGGACAAGGCGACCAAGGCCAAGGTGAGTTTGAGTTTAGTTCCAACTTGATTATTTTATTAAGATAGCAACTATTCTGCTCTATATATCGCCGTTCGTCAATCCATTTCGCGACAGATGATTTAATATATATCGAGTGTTATAGAATATTGACATGATTACAAGACGGCGTTTCTTGATTCTTGATTCTACTAATTTTGAAGATATTGTTTTGCAGAGATAAAATTTGGATAAACAAGATAGTTGACATTTAATAACTTGATAATTATAAAAGTCAATTATTTTTTTTATTTGCTCTATTAACGAAAAATAAAACTATTATCTGTCTGGATTCTTTCAATTTTTGTTTTGTGTATAAAAAATACTTAGTTTTTACAGTAAACAATACTGTAAAGATGTTTGTATCTGTAAATTTTCGATGAAGGAGAAATCGACGTAAACCGATTAAACTTTCTTACTAACTTAAACGCTTTAATAAATTGATATATTTTATACAATTTTTCTGTTATTTATAGTAAAACTTTTGCATCTTAATAAATTTAATTTGAGGTCATGTGTTGTTAAAAGACAGTCGGTTAAAAAGGTTATTGCGGTATAGCTGATAATTTAATATTCGAGTTCTTAATCGTCACTACTCTGCAAAAAGAACCTTGAGATCCAAGTACTTTTATATAAGCAAGAGAAATGTAGGTTAACATCGGGATAATTCAACCGTCGTGTGTAAAGGCAATACCGACGAATTGTGTTGTTAATTAACGGTCGCCATTTTTCAACAAGATAAATATTACAATGCTCTATATATCCACGTAACTAAATTTAATTCATTAGTCACTATTCAGATATAAATGTTATTAAGTTATTATAGTTAATAACATGATGAATTCGCGATTTTACTTATTTAATATATTGTTATAAATAAATTTATATGAATAATGTACAATAATTTTTATTCGTGATATTTTCGCAAATCTCGTAAAATGCTTTAATATTTTGTAAAATATATATTTATATTAAAACATCAATCCGCTTAATAACATTTATATCTGAATGTCGAGATATTTTAATATTGCTATAGAAAAATATATATTGTGATAGTTGAAAAATGCTTTCTTGTGAATTTAATTAGAAAAAAAAGCGAAATATAATATCGATTGCGAGTTAATGTTTGTGATGAATTATATGTTTTCTACTGAATTGCGAAATTTTCCACTTTAATTTGAAACACTTGGCAGTTAATGACTACCTACGTTTTTCTGAGAAAAATTACCAAAAGTTGCCCAACTCTTCCTATTGTTACTCAACAACGATTGCTCAACATTTGTTAATTATTGCCGAAGATACACGATAACTTCGTTGATAATAAGCATTGATCATTGCAGAAAACAATTTCTTATCAGATATTAGCGTACTTGTGCGGACTTTTAAATGATATGAAGAAAGTTGCTATAAGTTTCAGGGAACGGGAAAAAGTCGGAGAATTAGAAACAATCGAGAAAATTGCAAGAAACTTCTGGAATTTGCCACTCCAATGATGTGGAAATCAAATAATATCGCATTAATTATCAATAATCATAAAAGTTTTCATATATTGCAAACATCACTATAAAAATTGTTAATAAATATATTTTAAAAATAATAATAAGAGAAACATAATAAAATTTCCTTCATTTTATTTAGTTTTTATTTTTGCTCTTTTTGAAACATGAATTTTAATTTGGGAGAATTATAATATCAGAGGTATGCACATTAGTAAATGGAGCTAGAAATTTAATTAAAGTGGGGTTTTAATTACAATTATTATTTTAATTTGGAAAGAACTCAAGAATGACATACTCTGGAAAATTCAAGAATTTTTACAAGTTTTATTCTTTACGACGGTTATTCTAACGAAAAATAACATTGGCACCGAAGTGTCTCGCGACAGTGAATGCAAACTTGATCTCGGAAAGCGTAATAATCGCACCAGCTGTGAGACAGCCGCGCGTGGCCAGCGGAAGTGGTTTTGTTGTGCACGAGATAAAACATTATCGATCGCGTTACGTCGAGCTCTCGTGACGAGAGGAGGAGAATGATGACGATATCATGCGGGTTTGATACAATAATAATCAAAGCATTGCATGTACGTTTTGCCTCTTGCAGGTAACATTGGAGAACTATTACAGCAATCTGATAGCGCAACATATCGAGCGGAAGCAGAGGCTGGCGAAGCTCGAGGAGTCCCTTAAAGATGAGGGCCTCTCGGAGCAGCAGAAGCAGGAAAAGAGGCTGCAGCATGCCCAAAAGGAGACCGAGTTCCTCCGACTCAAGCGGTCCCGGCTCGGCGTTGAGGATTTCGAGCCCCTTAAAGTCATCGGCAGGGGTGCCTTTGGCGAGGTAAAGAAGGAGCGATGATACGTAATGATGCTAATGAGCGAGCGAGTTTCGGGAAGTCTGGTGTTAGTTTAATTACAAAATTAGCTGCGGTTTGAGATATAAGCAATTTCGAAGCGCAATTCCTCTGCGATAAAATGAGAACGAAATCTGAGAGACTTGTGATATCGTGCATATAATTGATGTAACTTATTATTTTTATTTTAGAGTAGTTTTAGAGTAGTTTTAAGTAATTTGAAAAAAATAAGGCGAAGAATGAGTTTGATTCTAATTAGATTATTTTCCAGATATAAGTTAGATAGTCTCTCGCATGTTATAACAAGTTGCAATATTTATTGACACTTCTTGATTTAAATGGCATCTTGAATAATATATTCATTGTATGCGTGACATACATAAATTACTCGCAATTTACATGACAATTTGAGCACATTAGAGATGAAGATTGAGCTTTACAAAAATTACAATAATAACGGAAATACGAAAGAGGCTCTCACAAGCAATGATCACGTCCACACGAGAGAGCGAAATTATCTTATTATTTCTCAAGAAAAGTAGTACTTCTCCTCGCTTCGCAAAGCAAGTGGAATCCCTTTCACACAAAAAATCTGAAATTAGAGAATGCTTTTAATCATTAGCGACAGGATTCTTGTCGGCATTTTCACTTGAAACGCCCTCCTCTGCGAAATAAATAGGTGAGACTCGTACAAAAGAAGGACACCGGACACGTGTACGCGATGAAGATCCTCCGGAAGGCGGATATGCTCGAGAAGGAGCAAGTCGCGCATGTCAGAGCGGAGAGGGATGTTCTCGTGGAAGCGGATCATCAGTGGGTCGTAAAAATGTACTACAGTTTCCAGGATCCTATAAATCTCTATCTGATAATGGAGTTTTTGCCCGGCGGTAAGTCTCATTATCATTGATCATCGGCGATGAAAGCAAAGGTGTTACCCTTGAGCGTCGCGGATATTTAAACTGAGATGAATTATAGGTGATATGATGACGCTGCTCATGAAAAAGGATACACTTTCCGAGGAGTGCACGCAATTTTATATTTCCGAAACGGCGTTAGCGATCGATTCCATACACAAATTAGGTTTTATTCATAGGTACGTCCGTTAAAAATCTATTGCAGTTAGCGAGTAAATAATTTTATTAATAAAATAAAATTGCTTACAAATCGTTGATTTAAATCTTTCAAAATTGTTTTACATAAATATGATTATCATAGATTTTTCAAAAAACTTTACGGTTATTGTTCTTTAACATTTATTTAATATTTTAGTAAAGAACGTTACACAAAAATTTTTGAATTATACTTAATTTTATTTTTGTTCATCTAACATAAGGATATATAATACTTTTGCGCGCGAATTAAAAACAAAAATAATCCTTTATATTAATTGAATTATATTTTACAGAGACATCAAGCCAGACAACCTGTTGCTGGATGCACGGGGCCATATAAAACTATCCGATTTTGGGCTGTGCACGGGTCTGAAGAAATCGCACAGAACTGATTTCTACCGGGATCTGAGTCAAGCGAAACCTTCCGATTTCAGTAAGTTGCATCATTGCTCGCGTCAAACGGAGATATTTGCATAACGTCGATGATGATGATGATTTAACTTATACCTCGCCCTGTGTCTCGCGCAGTGACATCATGTGGGAGTGGAAGCGGTGGCGCGATGGACAGCAAAAGAAGAGCCGAGAGTTGGAAAAGAAACAGGAGAGCGCTGGCTTATAGTACGGTCGGCACTCCGGACTATATCGCGCCGGAAGTATTCCTACAAACAGGTTATGGACCGGCTTGCGACTGTTGGTCCCTAGGAGTTATTATGTACGAGATGCTTATAGGTACGATGCCTTTAGTATTTTCCGTTTTTAAATGCGTTTAGATTGGCGAATTATCGAGAAAAATAATCGGCATGGCTGTTAATCTATTTATATTAATTAGTACATGGAAACTCTTTCGTCAAACCATATATTAGTATGTAAATATTATATATTATACTGCATATATAAATTGCGCGTTTTATAATAATGATTATAACACAATATTGATAATAATTGTAACGTTATATTGATTGTAAGATAATTGTAAAAGATGAACGCTAAAGCGATAAGAGTTCTGAACGGTTTGAAAAACATCTGTATACGCTGAGGAACTAATCTGATACAAATTGATAACAACGTGATTATTTCAGGCTATCCTCCGTTCTGTAGCGAAAATCCACAGGAGACGTATAGAAAAGTAATGAACTGGCGAGAAACGCTGGTATTCCCGCCGGAAGTTCCCATTAGCGAAGAGGCTAAAGACACTATCATCAGATTTTGCTGCGAAGCCGACAGAAGATTAGGTAATTCATCGGATTTTCGTCTCGGAATTATTAAAATTTCTCCCATGGCGATAGATCTTATCGTAAAAATAATTCTTTTATTATGATTATTCTTCAGGGGCGCAACGAGGCATTGAGGAGCTCAAATTGGCACCCTTCTTCCGCGGTGTCGATTGGGAGCACATTAGAGAAAGACCGGCCGCCATACCGGTCGAGGTGCGATCCATCGACGATACGTCCAACTTTGACGAATTTCCAGACGTGAAACTGGAGATACGTATGTGCTTCTTTTCCCGTAACGTTACCATTACATTCAATATTTGTGGAGAATGACACACTTTTAATCGCGTCCTTCAATTTTATCTCGTTACAGCATCCGCGCCGATGCCACAGGACGGCGAGGTAATATACAAGGACTGGGTATTCATCAATTACACTTTCAAGCGCTTCGAGGGTCTGACGCAACGAGGCACACCGACCAAGAAATAGCAACCCCTCACTTCCTGCTCGATCATCAGCGCCGCCATCGCCAATCAGCAGCTGGCTGATATGATCGAAATTCCGGCCTTGGTACATCATCCTCATCCGACGCCGTCTACGGCAACGGTGTCGCGCATGGCGGATGGTTGATTGTCTCGCTCTTATTGTATATACATGATGAGCACGGATTGAACGAGCGCAACGTTATCACGAATATCGATGATCGCGACGACAGCGAGCGATGATGAACAGCTCGGTCAGCCAGGCAGAGAGACGAACAGATTGATACGGGAGAGTATAGTGATAACGATGCACAAATATCGCACGCCTTATGCGTCGATAACGATGCGATGCGCGATAAGGCGACGCAAACGAAGTCTTTCGTTTGTCTAACTTACGATGATTTTCACAGAAATATTCATCGAGGATCATTATTCCTCACTTTTATCGTGCCGCGGAGAAGGCGTTTTGTGCAAAGTGTAGCATAATAAGCTCTCTGTGGTAATGGTATTAAACGAAAACGATCAGAGGGAGCCTCGGTACCGTAGTCTCCTCACAGTTCACGTACTTCTTATTTATCTGTGCGACGTGCATCGGAATGATATTTTATCGGGGAAATGTGTACTCGTTAAAAGTAACGTCTGGCTAAGCTCTCGAACCAAGCTCTCTTTTTCTCTCTCCTCTCTCTCTTTCTGTTCGAATGTTGTATTTATAATTAACTTTCTGTGATATATGAAGTTGTTGAAAATCTCTGCTATCTTTGGACCTTCTTGTCTGTTAGCGGATGCTTTATTGATGTTGTATATATGTGAGCAATTGTATTTCGATTTATCTTGAAAATTTAAGAGTTGTTGCGATGTAAGTTGCGGGTGGGATTTTATATTATATATATTTTCGCGCTACTTTTGAGAGCTTTGGCCTGTTCACGGAACCAAGGAATTAAACGGTACGACACGCGCGAAGCTTTTCATCTAAAAAGTTTCTGATATGTTTTACACATTTTATCATTAAGTGATTTTAATATTATGTAATAGTACTCTTCGGGTACCGGGTCTCTCTCTCTCTCTCTCTCTCTCTCTCTCTCTCTCTCTCTCTCTCTCTCTATCTCTACCTATCTTTTTCTTATAAGGCAATAATAAACATTTTTAGTCGTGTTTTGAATACACGATAAAGGATACTAGGCTTTAAAAGATACCGCAAAAAGGCGTAAAAAAGGAGAAAGAAAAATACACTTGTAAGATTCAGGGCTCCTTCGTTGCCTTATTAAGGTTCCTAACAGACAGCCCAACAAATCCGTACGTTTAAACGTAAAATAGATGAGCCAGACAAGCCACTTTTCCGAAATGAAAAATGATAAGGAAACGGAATCGCAGTGTGTTGCGACGATATGTAGAAAATTGCATACCCACATATACACATACATACACAAACCGACACATCCGTGTGTTTTAACACTCTGTGGAACCGGATACTTTTCCTTTTGATTGCACTGTGAACAATTTTACGATTTACATTTCGTAGTTTTGCTGACATAGCCAGGGCACCTTGGTAATAAAATAGCGTAATAACGTTAAAGACTAGATAACACTTAAGATAACAAACATACATACATACACACAGAAGTACCTATATACTAAAAGAAAGGAGATGCACGCGCGCGCGCTCGAAACGTAATTACATTGTGGATAATATAGTACATGTATAAAAACTCTCGA